CTACAGGGGCGGAACTGCTTGTGGCGCCACCTACAGGGGCGGAACATCTTGTGGCGCCACCTACAGGGGCGGAACTGCTTGTGGCGCCACCTCCAGGGACGGAACTGCTTGTGGCGCCACCTCCAGGGACGGAACTGCTTGTGGCGCCACCTACAGGGGCGGAACCTCTTGCGGCGCCACCTCCAGGGGCGAAACCTCTTGTGGCGCCACCTCCAGGGACGGAACATCTTGTGGTGCCACCTCCAGGGGCGGAACTGCTTGTGGCGCCACCTACAGGGGCGGAACTGCTTGTGGCGCCACCTCCAGGGGCGGAACCTCTTGTGGCGCCACCTCCAGGGACGGAACATCTTGTGGCGCCACCTACAGGGACGGAACATCTTGTGGTGCCACCTCCAGGGACGGAACTGCTTGTGGCGCCACCTACAGGGGCGGAACTGCTTGTGGCGCCACCTCCAGGGACGGAACATCTTGTGGCGCCACCTACAGGGACGGAACATCTTGTGGTGCCACCTCCAGGGACGGAACTGCTTGTGGCGCCACCTCCAGGGACGGAACATCTTGTGGCGCCACCTACAGGGACGGAACATCTTGTGGTGCCACCTCCAGGGGCGGAACATCTTGTGGCGCCACCTACAGGGACGGAACATCTTGTGGTGCCACCTCCAGGGACGGAACTGCTTGTGGCGCCACCTACAGGGACGGAACATCTTGTGGCGCCACCTACAGGGACGGAACATCTTGTGGTGCCACCTCCAGGGGCGGAACTGCTTGTGGCGCCACTTACAGGGACGGAACATCTTGTGGTGCCACCTCCAGGGGCGGAACATCTTGTGGCGCCACCTCCAGGGGCGGAACATCTTGTGGTGCCACCTACAGGGACGGAACATCTTGTGGCGCCACCTCCAGGGGCGGAACTGCTTGTGGCGCCACCTACAGGGGCGGAACATCTTGTGGCGCCACCTCCAGGGACGGAACTGCTTGTGGCGCCACCTACAGGGACGGAACATCTTGTGGTGCCACCTCCAGGGGCGGAACATCTTGTGGCGCCACCTACAGGGACGGAACATCTTGTGGCGCCACCTCCAGGGACGGAACTGCTTGTGGCGCCACCTTCAGGGACGGAACATCTTGTGGCGCCACCTCCAGGGGCGGAACTGCTTGTGGCGCCACCTACAGGGACGGAACTGCTTGTGGCGCCACCTCCAGGGACGGAACTGCTTGTGGCGCCACCTACAGGGGCGGAACTGCTTGTGGCGCCACCTCCAGGGACGGAACTGCTTGTGGCGCCACCTCCAGGGGCGGAACTGCTTGTGGCGCCACCACCAGGGGCGGAACTGCTTGTGGCGCCACCTCCAGGGACGGAACTGCTTGTGGCGCCACCTCCAGGGACGGAACATCTTGTGGTGCCACCTCCAGGGGCGGAACATCTTGTGGTGCCACCTCCAGGGGCGGAACATCTTGTGGCGCCACCTCCAGGGGCGGAACATCTTGTGGCGCCACCTCCAGGGACGGAACATCTTGTGGTGCCACCTCCAGGGACGGAACATCTTGTGGTGCCACCTCTAGGGACGGAATATCTTGTGGCGCCACCTCCAGGGACGGAACTGCTTGTGGCGCCACCTACAGGGGCGGAACATCTTGTGGTGCCACCTCCAGGGGCGGAACGTCTTGTGGTGCCACCTCCAGGGACGGAACATCTTGTGGCGCCACCTCCAGGGACGGAACTGCTTGTGGTGCCACCTCCAGGGGCGGAACAGCTTGTGGCGCCACCTCCAGGGGCGGAACAGCTTGTGGCGCCACCTCCAGGGACGGAACATCTTCTGGCGCCACCTCCAGGGACGGAACATCTTGTGGCGCCACCTCCAGGGACGGAACATCTTGTGGTGCCACCTCCAGGGGCGGAACTGCTTGTGGCGCCACCTCCAGGGACGGAACATCTTGTGGCGCCACCTCCAGGGGCGGAACAGCTTGTGGCGCCACCTCCAGGGACGGAACTGCTTGTGGCGCCACCTCCAGGGACGGAACATCTTGTGGCGCCACCTCCAGGGACGGAACAGCTTGTGGCGCCACCTCCAGGGACGGAACAGCTTGTGGCGCCACCTACAGGGGCGGAACTGCTTGTGGCGCCACCTCCAGGGGCGGAACAGCTTGTGGCGCCACCTCCAGGGACGGAACTGCTTGTGGCGCCACCTCCAGGGACGGAACATCTTGTGGCGCCACCTCCAGGGACGGAACTGCTTGTGGCGCCACCTCCAGGGGCGGAACTGCTTGTGGCGCCACCTCCAGGGGCGGAACTGCTTGTGGCGCCACCTCCAGGGGCGGAACTGCTTGTGGCGCCACCTCCAGGGGCGGAACAGCTTGTGGCGCCACCTCCAGGGGCGGAACTGCTTGTGGCGCCACCTCCAGGGGCGGAACTGCTTGTGGCGCCACCTCCAGGGGCGGAACTGCTTGTGGCGCCACCTCCAGGGGCGGAACTGCTTGTGGCGCCACCTCCAGGGGCGGAACTGCTTGTGGCGCCACCTCCAGGGGCGGAACTGCTTGTGGCGCCACCTCCAGGGGCGGAACAGCTTGTGGCGCCATCTCCAGGGGCGGAACTGCTTGTGGCGCCACCTCCAGGGGCGGAACCTCTTTTGACGCCACCTCCAGGGGCGGAACCTCTTGTGGCGCCACCTCCAGGGGCGGAACTGCTTGTGGCGCCACCTCCAGGGGCGGAACTGCTTGTGGCGCCACCTCCAGGGGCGGAACTGCTTGTGGCGCCACCTCCAGGGGCGGAACTGCTTGTGGCGCCACCTCCAGGGGCGGAACTGCTTGTGGCGCCACCTCCAGGGGCGGAACTGCTTGTGGCGCCACCTCCAGGGGCGGAACTGCTTGTGGCGCCACCTCCAGGGGCGGAACAGCTTGTGGCGCCACCTCCAGGGGCGGAACTACTTGTGGCGCCACCTCCAGGGGCGGAACTGCTTGTGGCGCCACCTCCAGGGGCGGAACTGCTTGTGGCGCCACCTCCAGGGGCGGAACTGCTTGTGGCGCCACCTCCAGGGGCGGAACTGCTTGTGGCGCCACCTCCAGGGGCGGAACTGCTTGTGGCGCCACCTCCAGGGGCGGAACAGCTTGTGGCGCCATCTCCAGGGGCGGAACTGCTTGTGGCGCCACCTCCAGGGGCGGAACCTCTTTTGACGCCACCTCCAGGGGCGGAACCTCTTGTGGCGCCACCTCCAGGGGCGGAACTGCTTGTGGCGCCACCTCCAGGGGCGGAACTGCTTGTGGCGCCACCTCCAGGGGCGGAACCTCTTTTGGCGCCACCTCCAGGGGCGGAACCTCTTGTGGCGCCACCTCCAGGGGCGGAACTGCTTGTGGCGCCACCTCCAGGGGCTGAACCTCTTGTGGCGCCACCTCCAGGGGCGGAACTGCTTGTGGCGCCACCTCCAGGGGCGGAACTGCTTGTGTGCCACCTCCAGGGGTGGAACCTCTTTTGGCGCCACCTCCAGGGGTGGAACTGCTTGTGGCGCCACCTCCAGGGGCGGAACCTCTTGCGGCGCCACCTCCAGGGGTGGAACTGCTTGTGGCGCCACCTCCAGGGGCGGAACCTCTTGCGGCGCCACCTCCAGGGGTGGAACTGCTTGTGGCGCCACCTCCAGGGACGGAACATCTTGTGGCGCCACCTCCAGGGACGGAACCTCTTGCGGCGCCACCTCCAGGGGTGGAACTGCTTGTGGCGCCACCTCCAGGGACGGAACATCTTGTGGCGCCACCTACAGGGGCGGAACCTCTTGTGGCGCCACCTCCAGGGGTGGAACTGCTTGTGGCGCCACCTCCAGGGGCGGAACCTCTTGCGGCGCCACCTCCAGGGGTGGAACTGCTTGTGGCGCCACCTCCAGGGACGGAACATCTTGTGGCGCCACCTCCAGGGGCGGAACATCTTGTGGCGCCACCTCCAGGGACGGAACATCTTGTGGCGCCACCTACAGGGACGGAACATCTTGTGGCGCCACCTCCAGGGACGGAACTGCTTGTGGCGCCACCTCCAGGGACGGAACCTCTTGTGGCGCCACCTCCAGGGGCGGAACAGCTTGTGTGCCACCTCCAGGGACGGAACAGCTTGTGTGCCACCTACAGGGACGGAACCTCTTGTGGCGCCACCTCCAGGGACGGAACTGCTTGTGGCGCCACCTCCAGGGACGGAACTGCTTGTGGTGCCACCTCCAGGGACGGAACCTCTTGTGGCGCCACCTCCAGGGGCGGAACAGCTTGTGGCGCCACCTCCAGGGACGGAACCTCTTGTGGCGCCACCTCCAGGGGCGGAACAGCTTGTGTGCCACCTCCAGGGGCGGAACAGCTTGTGTGCCACCTCCAGGGACGGAACAGCTTGTGTGCCACCTACAGGGACGGAACCTCTTGTGGCGCCACCTCCAGGGACGGAACTGCTTGTGGCGCCACCTCCAGGGACGGAACTGCTTGTGGTGCCACCTCCAGGGACGGAACTGCTTGTGGCGCCACCTACAGGGGCGGAACTGCTTGTGGCGCCACCTACAGGGACGGAACTGCTTGTGGCGCCACCTCCAGGGGCGGAACCTCTTGTGGCGCCACCTCCAGGGGTGGAACCTCTTGTGGCGCCACCTCCAGGGGCGGAACCTCTTGTGGCGCCACCTCCAGGGGCGGAACCTCTTGTGGCGCCACCTCCAGGGGCGGAACCTCTTGTGGCGCCACCTCCACGGGCGGAACATCTTGTGGCGCCACCTCCAGGGGTGGAACCTCTTGTGGCGCCACCTCCAGGGGCGGAACTGCTTGTGGCGCCACCTCCAGGGGTGGAACCTCTTGTGGCGCCACCTCCAGGGGCGGAACTGCTTGTGGCGCCACCTGCATGTCAGATCCACTTCTTGCCACGTCACCGTGAGGACCGGAGTCTGTTTTTGTGACGTCGCCACGGGTAGAAGAGCCTCTTATCAAGATAGGACCGCTAGTGGGCGGAGCCAATTCTTATGACGTCACGGCTAGGGGGCGGAGTCTACTGTCAGTGAGACTGCCAGTCTCTCCAGACTGGCAGTCAGGACCAGTCTTGCCGTGATGCCTGACGAGGGAGGTCTTGAGGGGTTCTGTAACTCCACGTTCTGGGTACGTCAGTGTCGTCATCACAGTGCCTCGAACCTCTCTTGTGTGTGAAGGAAAATATTGTACCGATCACAGTGCAAATTGTGGCAGTAATAGTCTGAATGTATGAAGTGGAAAGTGTGCAGTACGCTCAGGCTTGCAAATTGTGTACAGCAATATGGTGTACAGTGGAACACAAGTTGTGTTTCACTGTACATCACAGTACACGAGAGAGAGAGAGAGAGAGAGAGAAGAGAGAGAGAGAGAGAGAGAGGAGAGAGAGAGAGAGAGAGAGAGAGAGAGAGAGAGAGAGAGAGAGAGAGAGAGAGAGAGAGAGAGAGAGAGAGAGAGAGAGAGAGAGAGAGAGAGAGAGAGAGAGAGAGAGAGAGAGAGAGAGTGAGAGGAGAGGGGGAGGAAGAGAGAGAAAGAGTGTGTGTGTGAGAATGTCTGAGAGTCAACGATAGCATCTATCTTGAGGGTTATCTTGAGATGATTTCGGGGCTTAAGTGTCCCCGCGGCCCGGTCCTTGACCAGGCCTCCATCCCCAGGAAGCAGCCCGTGACAGCTGACTAACACCCAGGGACCTATTTACTGCTAGGTAACAGGGGCATTCAGGGTAAAAGAAACTTTGCCCATTTGTTTCTGCCTCGTGCGGGAATCGAACCCACGCCACAGAATTACGAGTCCTGCGCGCTATCCACCAGGCTACGAGGCCCCCTAACATAACAACAATTGACGGACAGAAAGGCAAGAAATCATATATTCACTCACCTCTAGTGAGCAAGCTGTCATCTTCATTTAGAGAGTCAACTTGCACCAAGGTTATTATAATGCACTATCATATGCGGCTTTATTCCTATTGGTCAGGCAAACTTCTTTATGTAACGTTGTCGGGAGGAGCCGGTGGCTGAGCGGACAGAACACTAGACGCGTGATCCTGTGATCCCGGGTTTCGATCCCGGGCGCCGGCGAGAAACGATGGGCAGAGTTTCTTTCATCCTGATGCCCCTGTTACCTAACAGTAAATAGGTACCTGGGAGTTAGTCAGCTGTCACGGGCTGCATCCTGGGGGTGGAGGGCTGGTCGAGGACCGGGCCGCGGGGACACTAAAGCCCCGAAATCATCTCAAGATAACCTCAAGATTGTCCTTAATCTTTATTGCTAGAAATTAGCAGCCAGGTTCTAGATCTTCACAGTGGTGGAGCTCCATCTGTAACTTATGTGAAAGCCTCCGATAAAAATTATATTTTGTTCTGTTCAGCTCATCAGCAAGGAAGTAATATTTATGGAAGAAAATTAACAAACCGATACACAATTACTGCTTCACAATACATGAATAATCTTCAAACAATTCCACTACCAAACATGTTGTTATTCATACATTCATATATTCATTAACACATCATCTCATATTTATGCATTCCAACCGGATACTATCGTTTAACATGTGATAAATGTTAGACAAAGATCTAATAATTTGGCAAAATACACAAAATTACACACACACACTCACACAAAAGTTCACTTACACAAAAACATAATCTGCTCCACAAATCAATATCCTGTCACCATGCCAGTATTTATTTATATCCATTACTCGGTGTTTAAATATCGTGAATGGCTTATCAATATCTCTCTCTTAGGATAGAATACTCTCACTTATATATTTGTGTATTTTATCTCAAGGTTTTTCGTAAAGATTTGTGTGGAGTTCAAATTTTTACCTAAAATACACAATACTATTTTGATGAGGATTATTATCTAAAGTTGTTATGTCTTGTATACGACAGGACCATTACATTCTCTCTTAACATATCACCCTTAATTCTTCGGTTTTCTGGAGAACGTAAAATAAGTTTTCAATCTCAAACATCACGTCATCAACCCCATTCCATCTATAATATCCATATTCTAACGGATCAGTAAATCTCTGCAACAAATATTTCAAATTTAAGGTAAAAGTTATACTTAGATATAATAATTTAGCATCATGTAGAAACTTCACTCAGACACACTCATAAAACTGCACACTTAACACTCAAAAGATACACTTGCACATAGCTTAAAATTCGTACTCTAAACCATATGTACTGTGCAAAATATCGCATTCTTCAGAACACATTCTCACAAAATGCGTACTCACACGAATTCACAACATTTACAACACTACTTCACAAAAATCACACCTGCACAAAAAGTCACATTTGCTTAAAACAACACATATCCACAAATTAACTAAGGACTTGCACAAGTCACTCTTTCTCAAAACACATACACACTCACACAATCTCTTTAACATGTAACCCCCACCCTATACAGCCCCTTGTCGTCGTGAGGGGGCTTGGTGGGCGGCTGCCGGGGTGTGATGATCCCTAGGGACGGTCCTCTGTCCTTTGAACCCTTATGCTCCTGCTCCTATCGTCACTAATTTTCCTGATTGTTTTTTTCCTCTTCCTCGTGTTTCATTTTTCCTCCCCGCTTCTTCTCCTTCCTGATTGTTCCCTTCCCGCTGACTTTTTTGCCATTCTTGAATATTCTTTCCGATGCCTTCTTCTGTTTTAATGCCCGGGTGTTTGGGGAGGCAGACTCTCTCACCCTAAGAACTGTGGTACCCGACGTTGCGAGCGAGGGGATGCTTTTATTGTCAATCCTCGCCTTCGTTGCTGAGCCCGATCTCGACGGACTGACGGTTCTTAAGGTGACGATTGCAGGGCATATAAACACGATGCAACCCTGGGGGGGGGGCCATCTTGTTTTATGTCCTATCTTCTAATTGTGGCTCCATGGTGGGTATGGGGGCTTACATGTGGATGAAATTATATTCATGATCATTTTATGCCTATTTCTGAACTTCATGAAACTTCTCAGACACGTGGGGTGGGCGACCAGGCCCCCGAGTTGAACTGTCATGGAAGGCCGGGCTCTGTAGACCCTGCTACATTGGGGGGGGGGGGGGGCTACAGTAGTGACGACCTCATTCCCTGGAGTGGCTCCATCCATCCCTGTGCCAACTATGCCTTTTAGCTCTCCCTCTTACCGGGGGTGCTCGGCGCCGTCAATCCCACACTCGCACAATTCCTTCCCAATCTAATATATTCCAAGCTTTGTTTGGTCCCTCTAAGTGGACTAGGTATTTTGATCTTAGTCATGTTGATCTTACACTTTCTAATGATTTATTCCTCCATAAACACCTAATTCATTTGGTGGACACTTTTGTTACTTTTAACCCCACCCATACTGGTACACGTATTGTTGCACCCCCTTCTCAGGAAGTGGCTGACCGCTTGGCTTCATTGTCCTGCATTGGCGAGACCCCGGTTCAGATCTCCAAAAATGCCCAGTTAAATGCTAGCATTGGAAAAGTTCTTCTCCCGCACCTTGTCATGACTGGTGAAAGGCTATTAAATGTATCCTTGAGGACCAAGGCCATTCTATCCTCCAGATAGATACGTTCACTCGACCACCTCGTGGTCGTCGTCGTCAGCCTCTTTGCGTTGTGAAGGTCGCGTTTGATGGTTAGTCCCTTCAATCTTCCATCATTCTTGATGGTGTCAGATGCTCCGTTCAGGAGTACATCCCCTCTCCTCGCCTCTGCAGCAGGTGCTGGAGATATGGGCATGGGCCCTTCAGGTGCACAAGTGAGGTCTCTTCTGCCCGTTGTGTTGAATCTCGAGTCATTCTAAGACAGAGTGCTCTCTTCTTCCCAAACTCTCTGCATCAATTGCAGTGACCCCCCCACCCACCCTGCCTTTTCCCGCGCCTGTGTGTGCTGCAAATTTAAGGAAGCCATCCTCAATTTGAAACATCGCGATCATTTATATTTTCCTGAGGCGAGACACCAGGTTCGCCGTCTTCCCTCTTTCTCTGGCATGTCTTATGCTCGTGTGTTGCATTCCACTTCTCACCCTCTCCCACTTTCTCAGTTTTGCAACTGTTTCCAGGCCTTGAACCTCGACACCTCCACCACCACCTCACCTGCTCCTTTCCGTTCTGTCATTGAGCCTTCCTCCTGGTTCTCCATCTGGTGTTTCCTTCCTTCCCAGTCTTCCTTGTCTCCTGTGCCCCTCTTTCCCTTCTCGCACGAATCCATTTTCTCAGCCCTCCCCACTGTCTTTTGGCCCTCCACAACGCCTGTCCGTTCAGGGTATTGTCCATCCTCCTCCCAGCTATCATCGTGTTGACCGCTTCAATTCTCCCTCTCCTATGAAGACTTTAGAGACTGTCGCCCAGTACATTGCCGCTGGTACGCACGTCTCTCTACGTCAGAAACGTAACCCTGGTTCCTCTCCTTCTTCCTCGGTGGATAAGAAGACAACGCTCTATTCCTCACCTTCCGACTCTGACTCTATCCCTGCATTCCCTCCCATTTCAGAGGCGGAGTCGTCTGTCCCAGCTATGGAGGTTCCCTTAGTCCTTGATTCTCTCTCTGATGCTGCCGCTGATGAAGTGCACTTCCCTGTTTCTGTCCTAACTTCCCCTGATTCCCTTGACTCTCTGATGCCTCCTCCCACTCCGGACTCCATCGTCCTTGTTAGATTTACCAAACCCCAGTTTCACTGATCCTAATCTTCTTTTGTCTTGTGCATTCTTCTTTGTTTCTGCCTTGTTATCTCTGTTTCTGTTCTCTCTCTTTTGTTTGCCTGTTCTTCAATGTATTATTAGTAATTTTTTTGCCAACTTCCATGATCAACTTCTAATAATAGAGTTTTCGTCACTTCATGTCTGTCTTCAGGAGCCAATGCTTGGTGCTCGTCCTGGTCGCTTTCGTGGTTATTCCATTCTCCTCCCCCCCCCCCTCCTCCAGCTTTTGCTGGGGCCCATAACTCCATATCTCTCTTGATGCGTCTTGATATTCCTTTCGTCCCCTTACTTTTTCAGTCACACATTCAGTGTTCTGCGGCCCGTATCTTTGTGAGTAAATGGTATACAATCTGTGCCATTTATCTCACCTCAATGTTCCACTTTCTCTTCCTGATCTTAAGCACCCGTTAAACTCCTTGCCAGAGCCTGTGCTCCTGTTGGGT